CGAGGCGGGAATTCAACAAACCTTGGGGCGCAGCATCAGCCAGCAGCGGAGGCCATCGAGGGGCCGTGGCAGCGCTTCTGGAGGCAGCTTGGCGGTGCGGTGTGTGTGTGTGTGTGTATGTGTGTGCGTGTGTGTATGTGTGTGCGTGTTTGTATGTGTGTGCGTGTTTGTATGTGTGTGCGTGTGTGTATGTGTGCGTGTGTCGACGACGAGTAGTAGTGGTGGTGGTGATGGCGGTAGTGCGTGGAGACGGTGAATTAGGTCCAGCAAGGGCGGCAGCCAGACATAATCCCAGGAAAGTGTTGCTCAGCGTTGCTCAGCATGGCCGAGCCATGGTCTTTGACATGTCACTGCCGCGCATCCCGTCGGCGGGCTTGTTGTAGCGGCGTGTGCAGCAGAGTTGCGCTGCGTCCGCCTGCGCCCGGGTAGAGCGGGTGTGATTGGGTGTGGGTGGGTTTGGAACGGGCTGCCGAGCAGACTGCCCAGGCTTGGGGATGGATGCCAAGCCCAAGACTTCTCCCAAGGCCTTGAGAGCGTAATTCTATGTAACAAGAGTCTTGCCTCTCCTGGGGCCCGTCTCCGCTGCTCGCTATAACATGCCCGCTGCCTCGTTGTCCTCGCATGTCTTCCAGCGTCGCTTGATGCCCGTCCGCCCGTGACGTTGACCAGACCGACTGCCCGGCAATGGAATCCCAGCTTCCGCCGCCGCCTGCTTCGGCCATACTCGCGCCCCCCAGCCAACACCACCAACCACAGCCGCAACACCACCATCGCCTGTCCAGCCCCAGCGCCAACAGCGACCACGACTACACCTACCAATACAATGAAAAGGATTCGCACCACTACCACCAACACTCCTCGGTCCACTCCGACCGTCTGAGCAGGTCGAGCAACCGCCGCCCTCACGACTCCGTCATCTCCCACCCCTTCTCGCCAAAGCCCTCGTCGCCGCCAAGCCCCAGCACCAACAGCAGCATCTCCTCCGTCGGCCACCACCGCAACTCATCAAACGCGTATCGCTACTCGTCTGAGCAGATTGAGCGCCAATCACTCTCCTATCCACCCCGGGCCCACATCGACCCGGAAAAGCATGCCGAGGCTCTGGCTCACGGCTACCGCGTCTCAAACCGCCTGTCTGCAGTCCCGTCCGGCGGCGATGCCATTGTTTACGACAAGGGCGCCTTTCAAGAAAAAGGCCCCGAAGAGAAGGCGTTGCAGTTGCTGGTAAGAAAAAAATCTCATATCGCAACCTACTCGACGCGCTCGTGACTAACACAACCCCTTAGCTCTGGCTCTGCGGACCTTGCGCCTTCCTCTCCGGTGTGATTGCCATCTGGACCTTTTTCGCTCTCTTCATCACCCTCCTGCTATCGCCGCTCCGCCTCTGCACTGCGCGCGCGCCCCTCTCCGAGCAAATCAAATCCTTCCTCGCTCCGTCGCTCAACCTGCAACTGCACATGGTCTACTCGCATGACTCGACATCCGGCTACAGCGCCCCCATGCTTGTCGTCATCCACCTCTTTTCACCCATTGTCGCATTCGGCGTCGCAATCGCAGCCTGGACTGCCGCCGGTTTCTGGTTCTTCTCCTGCATCCTTGGTGACCCTGGCGGTCACGACGGCCACAATGACGGCCGCGAGAGCATTGTCGGTGTGCGAAACTGGTGGGAGCGATGGCTTTCTCGCGGACTAAGAGAAACCGACGCTTGAAGAATAAAGAGGAGGATGAAATGTATTATTGATAAAGTTCGTTTCTTTCGTGTATTTTTCTGTTATTTTTGTTTACACGTTCTCCGAGCTACGGCAGGATGGAGCGTTCCAGCGGCATATACCATGGCGTAACAACAGTCTTGGGTTCGGGTTTTATTTTCCAAATGGGAAAGGGTTCTCTCTTCCGGACGGACGAACGGATATGAATGGGGTGGGAAGAATATTTGCTGATCTCCGGATAATGGACAGCAACCGGCGTTTTTTGTCTTCATGTTCTCTTTGAGCCTCTTTTTACCCTTGCCTCTTACTACTCTGGATTCGCAGAGTACCGAGGTGGGAAAGAAGATTGGCCGATATGATATACCCCCATAACTAGTTTTTTTTTATTTAACTTTCAACAATATCACGAACATATTCGAACACACACACACAAAATTCTTCTATTCTCCCTTGGTTGTGACAAACAGTTGCCTTTGATCTCGCCTACCCTCACACCGCCTCGATCTACCTTCCCCTCTCTTTCTGTCCACCGGAAAGCTTCCACATTTGGCGCCCAGCAAAACCCGTCGTTCTTGTCCTTCAAGCGCAAAGCCGCTACCCGGATATACTATCCCAGACCCACCACACCCATCCATCTCACGGAGGGGCAAAAACACTGCTTATCGCGGCATTATGCAATGTCACTCTACATCCCATCCCATTCAATCCATATTTTGGCTGACAATGACACGAAACAAAGTTGTCCATTCCTGGGTCTAACTCTACCCTCCCCCCGCTTCCCATACCATGCAACCTTCCATGTGAAAGTCAAGAAACAAAGGCAGAGAAAAAAAATCACTCACTCACTTCCATCGGGGCTAAAGCCTTGGAGTTACACGCATGTTGCATATTGCATGTTGCATATTTGCCCTTTGTCCCAAACTAGTTTAGAGGGACAACCGAAGAGAGAGAGAGAGGGGGGGGGAGGGTCTTTGGCGTCATGCATGCATCTAAGTATGTGTGTGAGCGGGAAAAGTATGGGGCATAAACGTGGATGTGGGTTAGGCGGAGGGAAAAGCAATAAGAGGAAGGTTGAAGAAAGAAGGGTAGAGGAGATAACCTTGGTTTGGGTGATCGAACTTGTTTTCTGGTGGTTGGGTTTGCTTTTTGAGGAGGGAAGAAGGGAAAGAGATTAGAGCTAGGGTATGTGTGTGGGTATTTTGGTACGCGATGGGGAAATACAATGTGCTATAGTAGCTTGGTGGACAGCCTCGTCCTAGTTAGCTTTGTCTGTTTTGGGCGAGCTCTTTTTCGGTTGATTGCTTTTGGGGTGCTTTTGCTTTTGCTTTTGTTTGCTTTTGTTTGCCGTCTTTTCTGGGAAAAGTGACGGATGGGGTGCAGTAGTCACCATCGGAACATTATATTGGGGAGGCTGGGGGATAGTTGAGGCTGTTGAGGTGATGATCGGAAGAGAAAGATACGAGGTAGTTTATGCACTCTGAACGCATGTCTTTGACATCATATATGTAGATATCTGTTGGTGTTGATGCATGAGGCAGGGCTGAGGTGGGAAAAGGAAGGCACAGCTTGGTTCTGCATCACCTATCTTTTTTTCCTCTTGCTTCTCCATATGTCGTGAAACCATCGACGAAGGGAAAAGGAAATTACAGAGACGTCGCGGATCCCAAGTATAAACGTGTCACAACTCGTCTGCAGATATTTTCTTTATTTCCTACATACAATTGGTATACGCGTCGCACGTGACTTTTTCCTACACCTTAATATTGCCAGCTTACTTTTACATTTCTCCATCTCACCGCTTAGGCACCGAAGGAATACGAGAAAGCCCCGAGTCAAGCATGCATATACCTACACAAACCGGGTTTTGTATGAATCTGCATCATCACCAGAATAAAGTTCGCATGTAGAGCTCACATAAGATCAACTTATCCGGTGGCCTGATGATCTTAAAATGATAACACGTGGTAAACTTTATCTTCATTTCCCCCAAGTCGGAGAAATCCGACTTGGAAGAAGGATAGGTGCTGACAGATTAATCTGAGATGCTCGGCAGATTTACCGGTGGAGAGATTGCAAGTGTGAATCGAGCATTGAATACGATTTCTTTGCCCAGAGCCTCATCTTGGCTTTGATTGCGTGGTTTTACTCATAATACAGCCGCATCGATCAAGACTGTCGAAGAAAAAAAAATAACGTCATTCGCGACTTGGCTATCTCGCATACACATGCCTCCTCCAGATTAGACCACAAGAGAAACATTCACATCTACGACTTGGACAGGCCGACAACACCTCGTCCAGCGATGAAGAAGAAAGAGAATGGAACTCGGAAGTTAAAATTTACCTTCCAAGCCCGAAAGTAGCACCGACAGCGAGAAAAAAAAAGAAAAAAAGTCAAATAGCTAGCTAGCTATGCAATGCAAAAACAGCACAGCAATCACACGCAGTAACCAACTTACTCGAGCGAAAGAGAGAGAGACAACAGCAAAGAAGGTGGACCCCCAAAGCACCACCCTCCATTTAGCGACGACGTACGATGACGCCGTTGACGCCAGGGCACATCCCTGTTCCACCGCAAAATGCGGGCCTGTGCAGAGAGAATGACAGAAAAAAAACAGAGATGAGAGGGTTAATCGTTGTTAAAATGACGATGTTCGGCAAGTGAAACGTGACAGTTGTGACAGCTTTGTTAGCTTCATCGGTGTGCGAAGAGGCTGAGACGACTAGAGAGACAGGACAAGGGAGGCATGTATAGCATAGATGCATAAATTTTCTTATTTTTCTTCATACAAATATATGTATATAAATTGACATTTGTATCAATATGTAATTGGTATATTGCTGTTTTGCTGACATGTACATGTATAAGATGCCAAGTCTCGAGTCGCTCTTCTTTTAACTCGCTCAAGTGGTTGTTCATAAAAGACATTACTGCATTAGACATGAATTTAATACAAAGATTTGAAAAAAGGGTCCCGGAGCAACGAGGCTAACCGTAGAATCCCTTGGAGGAAAAAATGATTGGGAAACTGTAAAGTTACCCAGCACAATCTCTTTTAAAAAAGAGATTTGACGTCTACCATGCTCGAGATTGCGGAGAATGCGCCGCGGAGCACGTCTTCAGCTACGTTTAGTATAGGGATAGCGCCAACTACACATCGCTTGTCGCTAACTCCATGGGGCATAACACAACATAGCCGGCGCTCATCGGTCCCAGTGGTTGCATTTGTACAATTGTTGTCGCCCAAGATGCCAAATCGTATTGTCGTTTCGCTTTCGCATTTCAGAAATGTTAATCCGAACAACGCACTTCTCGTATGGTTATCCGGCTGCCCGCTCTTTTGTGCTGTTTGCCACGCATAGTCTCTCGCGCTATGCAGTTCTTCAGACACTGCTCGACAAGTAAAGGATCCGCCTCAATGATTTCCTCATTCAGGAACCAGCTCGATGTTGACTTGGTGATGGACAGCCGCAGACAGCTTCGGTCGCTGCCAATCTGCTTTTGGAAGAAGTGGTCGAGAAAGGCGTAGGAATCGTCAAATGTTTTGTAGCAGCTGTTGCATGCAAATGTCGCTTTGTCGTCTCTTGAAACCGGGTCCAGTGCGATATGTGATGTGAAGAGAATGCACCTGGACGCCGGCAGTCCGGAATGTGCTGCAACAGATATACACGCACTGCAGTGGGGACATATTTCTCGGTCGTCATACTTGTCGTGTGGGTAGGCTTTCTTTGCTCGTAGAGTGCTGGTTTTGGTTTCCTTGAGGTCCTTGCGAAGCTGGTCTGCAAATGGACAGAATTCGACCTTGAATCGAGGTGGGGGAAGTACTGGCGAGAGAATGGGTGTTTCGAGGCGGGCATATTGGTCGCGTAATGCAGTTAAGCAGGCGCGGCGTACGCTCTTTGCAGTTGTAATGATGTCGTCAATGGGTGTGATTGGTGTTGCTGAGAATGCACTGTCGTACAGTGGCTGTCTGATTTCGTATTGGACTCGGAGCAGTTGTGCAGATAGCACCGTGTTGCATTTCTCTGTCCGTGGTCAACACATGTGTTTACAAGGTGCAAGACATGGCTTACGGTCTCCTTCCTCGAACCGCACACCGAATGCTTCTTTGCCCGCTTCCATTATTCTCTGAACCTGGCGTCCAAGGCTGAGAGCTTTCCCCATGGCATCATCTCGATTCTTGGTACCAAAGCATACCCACTTGGACCGAGAGCGGCGATGACGTGCCTGCCATTGCTCGTATGCCTCGTGTGCATCTTGAAACACACGGTCAATGTCCCACAGGGTGAGGGACGTGTGTTGCGACTTTTCGGGCGACATGGCGATTGTTGTAGACATTATGTAAGAAGAATATGGGGTATTTGAAGCGAAAAAAAGAATATAGAGTTCGTTATAGAGAGAGCAGAGCGACTAAATGGAGGACGAGGATGACAGGTGAAACGTCTAAACAGGATGAATGGGTATGTTTAATTAGGGCGGCCCTACCGGAAGTGGACGAGTCGCAACAACAACAATCTTGTTTGGGACAACAGCCACAGACGAATGATGCCAACCGGGATCAAGGCTCGTGTGCATGCGGGAGGGCGGTGCGCTGGCCTTTAGATAGTTGCAGCTGCTAAGCACCGTGTCATGTTCCTGCAGGAGCCCTAACAGAAGTAGGAAAGCTGAGAGAAGCGGAGATTGCGCGCATGAAGATTGTCGTATTTGTGGCGCACCTCGGCAGTATTGGACGACGACGCAGCCCGGCGAAGTCTCCGCTGAGGTGAACGTGCTTTGCTTTTAGAGCCACTTATGGCGGCGTACGCGAACCCTCTAGCGTTACAGCTGACGAACTACGGGCCCGGATGGACACGATAACCGGGTCCATGGAATGCAGGCATACAAATCCGTGCATGTGCATATCACAAGAGGCATCTTGTCGGCGGATCGTGATGGGGTTGGCTGTGGATGCACAAGAATAAGGGAGAGGTGGAGGAAAAGGGAAATAGAAAGGAAGAAAAAGGGGACGCGGGACACACGGCTGTGAGGCGTCGTCGGTCCGGCCAGTCCCCGTCTGGTTCCCGTCTGGAGCAAAACAACTGCTTCTGTTGTGGTGATGATGAGCGGCTTGCCCTTAAGATCGGCTTTATATGCGGCCTTGTCCCATGTATTGGAAAAAGAAGACATTTTGCTCGTATCATGTAGCATGTAGCGTCCTGCTAGTTCTGGAATAATGGAATAATGGCAATGATAAGGGACCCTCCCGTACTTACCGCGCCAGGGGTCTTGGAGAACCAACCCCGCGCCAGCTTCCCATGTGCCCCACCATGGAGAACCTCGAGCTTCATTTCCTCTGGCAAGCATCCCCTCTACTAATCCCTCTTATCACCCTCAGCCCGTCCGGAAATGTCGCACAGCCACTCCCATGATGGTGCGTCGCATTCGCACTCTGCCGCCGACCACGGGCATACCCATGAGATCCTCGACGGACCGGGCAGCTATGTGGGACGTGAAATGCCCATCATCGAGGGACGAGATTGGGAGGACCGGTCGTTTACCGTGGGAATTGGAGGGTACGACTCATTCCAACGTGGCTCAATTTCAAGTAGACAGCGAAGCCATGACAAGACATCATATAACATAGAGAAACACTGACACAAGCAGACCCGTAGGATCCGGAAAGACCGCCCTTATGCTGGCTCTCTGCAAGCATCTCCGAACACGCTTCTCCATAGCCGCAGTGACCAATGACATCTTCACCCGCGAGGACTGCGAGTTCCTGACCAAGAACAATGCCCTACCTGCGTAAGACCGTTTCAACATCTCCCAGGACCAACCCTCTCTGACACATACCCACAGCGAGCGCATTGTTGCCGTCGAAACCGGAGGCTGCCCCCACGCGGCTGTCCGTGAAGACATCTCCGTGAACCTCATGACTCTGACCAACCTCCACCACAAGTTCAACACCGACCTACTCCTCATCGAATCCGGCGGCGACAACCTTGCTGCAAACTACTCGCGCGAACTCGCAGACTTCATCATCTATGTCATTGATGTCTCTGGAGGCGATAAAATTCCAAGGAAGGGTGGACCCGGTATCACACAGTCGGATCTGCTGGTGGTAAACAAGATCGATCTGGCTGAGGCTGTAGGCGCTGACCTCAATGTCATGGAGAGGGACAGTAGGCGGATGCGCGAAGGGGGACCGACCATTTTCGCCGTTGTAAAAAGGGACCAGGGCGTCGACGCCATTGTAGATTTGATCCTATCTGCATGGAAGGCATCTGGTGCAACACAGGCACGCAAACAAAAGTTTGAGCCTACCCTGATGAGTGAAGAGGGCAAAGAGAGGAGCTACAGCATGAACTGACGTAAAAGTCACGAGAAAATAATAAAGAAGTTTAATCATTCATGAGGGTGGATCAAGATGACGTTGACGCACTTACAAATCACCCCTGAATCCATACCCAGTATTCGACCGTACGAGCCATCTGTGCTGCATGTTCAACCCACTTTTTTTTTGGCTATCCAGCGGTACCACCAAACTCTCAGCCCTCTACCAACCCAAATACCTTTGCTGAACCTCGCGCCTCACACCACCCATGGCCTCTCGAAAGGTTTCCAGACCTCTCTCCAATATGGCCTTCCTCGCCTCCAGATGAGCACTCTGCTGTACTATCTCCACCGGCTCAGCAGCAACATACTCAACCTGCTCATCCGTCATCTGCGTCACGACCAGCGGCGAAAGAATGACATCCGGCAGCGTCTCTACCAAATGCCGCTCAACCACCGCCTTCGCCACGGTGTTGATGAAGTACCCGAGCTCATCTTTGTAGTATGCCCTTTGCATATCCAGCGCCTCCTGGCTCGAAAACGTATCCATATCGAGCTCAATCGACTTATCCAGCTGCGCCGCCAACTTTATCGGATCAATAAACATTGACCGGTCCTCCCAGCCACCCACTTCTACCTCCGCCGCAGACATAGCAGCCCTGCTAAGCGCCTGATGCTTCCTCAACCGCATCTTCTGAATCGTCGCCGTAAAGTAATGATTATACGTCGACGGATGCCGAGCCTTATCCCTCAGCACCTTGGCCAACTCCTCCCTCGCATCCCCCAGCGACTTGCTCAGCGCCGCATCCACATTCAGCGCTACAAGCCGCTCTTCGAACTCCTCGGGCACGCGGTCTGCCAGCACCACGTTGATGAAGTCGCGGCACACTTGCGCTACTTTCGAAATGTGCAGCGAGGCGAGATCTTCCCATGGTAGGGATTGCTCCCAGAAAAGCTGGGATATCAGGACGGGCTGGAAGGTACCGGGGAGTTCGTAGCCGCGGGAGCGTTCGAGGGTCTTTTTCACCCATTCGACTGCTTCGCCGCGGGAGAGTTTCTTAGGCACAGGAAGACATGTGGTAGTGTCCTTTTCTTGTTTGAGTTCGCGCTCGAGTTCCTTTTGGGCTTCCATGGCTTCTCTGGAGTCTCGCTCGTCGTCGCCAGGTCCGGTTTCGAAGTTGTAACGGTGGCCGCGAAGCCGCATGTCCTTTGCGAAGCCCATGTTGAGATGCTGGACCACGGCGCGGAATCTACGGATATTTTCTGAGGAATCGACGGCGGCGTCTTTGTTGATGGTTCCAAAGAAGGGCGACTCGTAGTACCCTTTTATAGCGGATTTCAGGATGTCGTTTACTTTCATGCTGATTTTCATGAGGAAGACGCGTTGCTCGTGGCTGGTGTTGCGTTTTTCGCCCAGATTGGAGATTTCGTCCAGCGTTGCGCGGTACTTGGTCATCATTTCTTCCTTGAGTGATGGTAGCTCTCGGATTAGGTGGTGTAGTAGGACCTTGCTGAGACGCTCGCGGAGAGAGGTGATGCCAACGCACTCGCGAGGTAGTTGGGCGTAACGGCCTTTGCTGAAGAACAGTGCCTCGTCTTTGTTGCGCTGATCAAATGAAAAGTTCATCTGGTTGTCGGCACGGTTCTTGAGCATGTGCCAGCCGCGCTCGAGATAGATGTCTTTGTTTTGGGCAAGTTCGATCCAGCTCAGTTCGTTGTCAGTGCCCTCGCGAAGAAAGTCGGGTTTGGTGATGATGCCGAGAGTGCGACGGCCTTGCTCATCAATCTTGCGGCAATGGTCGAGAATGATTTGGTTGGCGAAGTCGTTCTTTGCACTCACTACAGCCAGGATGATGGTGCGCGGGTTCTTCATGTACTGACTAACAAGGTCCAGAATCAGTTCCTTGTCCGCTTCTGTCTGGGCCTTGTTTGTTGCATGTATAAGACCCGGAAGATTAACAAGAGTTCTAGATGATGTCATTTTATCACAACATCAATCCCAGGGAGCAGCACTGACAGCTGAGGCCTACTAGGACCTGTAATCTCGACAGACAGCACATCGCGAGAAAATGCCCTGGAGCTGATACCGCCCACAACGCCTAGGCCCATGGCAAGAGTCGCTTCTTCAATCACATCTGGAAGCTGATCAAAGTTCTGGATAGACTTGGTAAACCCTTTGAGTTTGGCTTGTTCAGACTCTGGGCGCAGCTTGTCAGGCGTAATCGTGACAGTACTCGTCGAAGCCGGGGAGCGGCGAAGGATGATCTGTGTATCGTTAGACCAGTACATAATTTCCAGATATCATTGGACTCACCTCAGTGGCAAATCGTGTGCACAGGTTTTCCTTGCGAGGAAACGGAATCTCAGTGATCGCCTCTAGTACTGAACTCTTGCCAGAGGACTGGTCACCGCAGACAATGAGCTGAGGCAGCTCCACCACTCCGCTCAAACCAGTGCGGCGCAGCTTGTCCACAATATCCATGACCCTGCGCTGGTCCGCCGACTGAAGAGCTTGTAGAGAGCTCGTCGTGACGGCATCTGGATCAACTGGCACGGGGGTGACTGGGGTCTTTGCGTCCTTGCGATCGGTATCGGTGTCCTTACCCATGGTTGCTATCAACTCTTAGGTTACAACCTGAGTAAAGAGTTGTGTTGTAGTAGAAGAGATGGAATCGAAGGGGAGTCGCTTAAATGGAAGGACGGGGATGGTGAGCTCCAGGCAACTGCGGTGAGTGTGAGCGTGAGTGTGAAGTTGTTGGAGAGCAAACACGCATGTCCCCAGCCCAGCTGCAGAACCGGACAGATGCATCTGCATTCAACTAAGAACAATGTATTCATCCAGTAGATTCTATGATAATGCAAGTAAATATCGGATACACAAGTACAACAAACATAGAAGAATACAGTCCAATGACAGTCATTCCCTCGGTATTTCCAGAATCACGGCTATGTCTAGACAGGATACAAATACAATCCATTTGATAAACGAGAACGCTACGAACTAACAAAAAATAACATGCACAATTACAAACAGTCTATAGTTTTGCGCCCTGGTCCTTGTTTGCCTGCAGCGTATCCCAATCAGCCATGGTATACACGACATAACCGCCTTCAGCACCCTTGCCCTTGGTAGCTCCGAGTAAAGTTGGATTCCAGTAGAGGGTGTCGTATTCAGCTTGGTCTTTGCCCTGCTCCTTGGCCTCCTTGTCTGCCCTCTCCATCAATTTCCTTAGGTCAATTCCATCGTTCCTCAATGGGACCTTGTTTTGCTTGTTGTTGTGCATGGTAGTTTGCTGCTTTTGTACCCTCAAAAAGACAGGGACTGCGTATTTGGGCAACTTTGCGCTCGCGTGGGCAAGTAGTGCGTTGAAGTCAAACGAATCGCGTTGTGCAGGGTCAATGAGGATGGCCGCACAGCCTGCTCGTCCGTCGTAGCCTGGTACTTCGACACCATAAACGTTCGCTTCTTGGATACCGGGGAAGGATCCAAGGACTTCACTGACTTCGGCTGTGCTGACGTTTTCGGATTTCCAGCGGAAAGTGTCACCAAGACGGTCCATGAAGAACCATCGACCGTCGGCATCACGACGAAGGGCGTCACCTGTGCGGTACCAGAGATCACCCTTCTTGAAGACGTTACGTTCGAAGCGCTTCTCGGTGGCTTCGGGGTTGTTCCAGTAGCCAACAAAGGCGTCCTCGGTGGGCAACTGAACAAGAATCTCGCTGCCCTCCTCATACGACTTGCGTTTACAGAAGCCAGTCTTGGGGTCACGGAGGAGATCACCAGTGACCATATCGACCTCGACAGGGACATAGGTGTTGTGGAATCGCCAGCGGTCAATGAGACCTTGGTGTCCGACTGAAGTGGCTGTAAAGGGTCCGCGAGAACCATTGAAGAGCGCCATAACACCTTCTGTGCTGTTGAAGAACTCGCCGACAATTTCAATGCCGAAACGATCGACGAAACGTTGCCATACATCTGGGCGAAGACCGTTTCCAAACATGGCTCGGACATTGTGCTTTTTGTCCATATCACTTGGAGGGGCGTTGAGGAGGTAACGGGCCGTCTCTCCAACGTACACGATGGCGGTAGACTTGGAGTCACGTACGTCGGTCCAGAATCTTGATGTGGAGAACTTGGTGCCGATGCAGCAGGTAAGACCAGTAATCATGCACACGAGTGCGGTGGTACCTCCGGTACCGTGGTAAAGAGGCATGCAGACATACCATCGATCACCATTAGGTCCTGGCTTCAGACCCATGGCACCTACACGACCTGTCAAACCGGCCGCTCTTTCCGTGGGGAATGGGCAGGCTTTTGGGTGTCCAGTCGTTCCACTGGTATCGTCAGCTGATCGCTTCTCTGAAAGAACGTGTAGTAGTAACCAACCTCGTGTAGAAAATGAAGAGAGGGAATTTGCCCTTCGCGCCTACTCGAAGGGAGTCTTCTGGCCTCTTGGGCTCCGACCTCGAAATCTCGCCCTTTAGATTGTTGTCCAGAATCAAGATAGTCATGCCGAGCTCTTCCTCCAACTTTTGGCGGATATCTTCTATCCTTTGCCTGCACTCTTGGTCTTCGTCGACAAGTATCACCTTGGCACCGCTTACTTTCAAGCAGTGAAACAGCGAATCACCCGCCAAGTTGTAGTTGATCCATGCCGGGGCACTTCCTATACTCCAGCTGCCCAAATGAGCAAACAGAAACTCGGGTCGGTTCATCATGTACATGGCGAAGAGCTGTCCGGGCACGACGCCATGCTGGTGGAGGTATTGGCCATAGCGACAGGCGTTCGCGTAGGTTTCGGCCCAGGTGTAGCATCCGTTACGAGACCAGATGCACTCTTCGTTCGAGGGGAGACGGCGAACTTGGCTTTCGAATTGGTACCAGAGAGATTGGCCCTTGCCTCGAGCTGCGGGACTATTAGCAAAGGGTGATGTGAGCACACACAAACAGCCCGAACTTACAGTTCTTCTCTATTCCACGCGCTGCGGCTTTTTGACCGCGAATTCCTGCGATATCTTTGGAGATGTGATATTTGGCGTCGATGTATGCGGCAGCAGCAGTAACGCCTGCAATGGCGGCGCCTGCAACGGGTGCTAGAAAGGGCCGGGTTAGCTGGGATGTGTGCAACAGCGTCGCGCTCGCAACAACTCAACAGCATGGGGAAATAACTCACCAAGATCCTTGAGATCCATAATGATTTCTTTCAAAGCTGTTAGGAAATACACAAGACTGTGAAAGAAGAGGGAAAAAGAGTGTAAGCAAGCGACCGGAAAATGAAGATGTCCCAAAACGTGCGCAATGCTTCTTGATAACGTGCGACACGTCCGTCCGCAACGTGATCAATTGCCGGTATGCCCTCGGCCTCGTCGCGCGCCGCCCCAACCCCAGGAGCCACCCCACGTGCCGGGAGCCCCACACACTTCTCCGTGTCTCGTCTTCGGTTCCATCGAGCGGCTTTGTGTATACATATATTGCAAGCGACGAAAAGACTTTGGTTGATAGTTGTGCGAGATGTTGATGTCTTGAAGGGACGTGGTGATCTAGTAACAAGCTGCCATCACCCGCAAACATGGATCCCCTATTCACCATACACCTCTAACAACTTCAACAAGCGCCTGTACTCTGATCTGCAAACACTTTGAGCAGTCTTTTCCCAGTCATGAATGTAGCATTTCGTCCCGCAATGCCTGTACATACCAGCTTCTCCAAAGTCGGCTGGACGTACCTATTTGATTTGCTAGCCCTCGGTTGCTGGATCGGTAGTTTGTATCCACTAAACCGGATTGATCATCCTTGGCAGATCCCGGTTCGAGTGGTGTTCACACATGTTGTTTAGAATATATATGCGCCAACCATCTCAACTTACATCAAATCAGGGCTCGGTGGTGTAGTTGGTTATCACGTCAGTCTAACATCCTGTTAGGCACACTGAAGGTCCCGAGTTCAAACCTCGGCTGAGTCAAAAGCCGGAGCTCGTCAAGAGCTTCATCTCCTTTTTGCACCTTCTTCCTCATTTCCGTCGTGAGGGGTTGTTCCTTTTTTTCCCCAGAGACAAGAGAGACAGGAGAGTCAATTGAGAAAGGCTGGGGTCTACAAGGGTGAATACAATGTACCAGTGTATTAGCTATCAAACATCACAAAGTAGTATCACAATGGAAACAGGTGCATAGTATCTTTCAACTCCAATCCTTTTCATTTACTTCTCCTCTCAGTCATGGCAGGTAATATATATACAATGAAGATTCAGATGAAAAAAAAATTTCATCTTTGAGTGTGGTTCAGAAAAAGAAGAACGAATGAACAACCACCCACATAGCAGACGCCTGAAAGCGCTGCCAGACTTGTACACAAGGGGCCCAAAATGGCCGATTGGGACACTATTGGTATGCATGGTTTAGTAGTACGAGGCAGGAGTCTCCTTGGCGCCCGAAGCCTGTACGGTAACCGTCTCAGTCAAGGTCTTGTACACAGTTGGTGCACCGGTGCAGATAGATGCGTCGGCGACGTTTGCAGCGGTGGCGGTGACGGTGACGGTGGGTGTGTATGTGACTGTGACGGGGGGCTTGCAGTCTCCCTCTTCCTCGTCATCGCTGTTGTTGGAGCCGCCAGCGACGGGGCTGGGAGTCTTATCAGCCGGGGCGGTGGGAGAAGCGATAGGAGTTGGCTGTGCGGCGTCGTAGTCGCCGGATTCCTCCTTGTCGACGCCCTTGTTGGGGAGGCCGGCGGCGTAGGAGGGGTAGAGGGAGGGGGAGCTGGTGGCTTCGGGGGTGGCGTCGGGAGTTACGGCGGGAGAGGCCTTGGAGGTGGACTTGTAGTCGGCAGGAGCTGAGGCGTTGCCAGAAGGAGTCTGGGTTGCTGCTGAGGAGGAGGAGGCTTGAGTGCTCTTGTTGCCGGTAGGGGCAGCTGGGGCAGCGTTGCAGCCAGCGCCGGAGGCGGGAGTAGCGGAGGCGGGACCGTACTGGACGGGGTTGCAGCCTGGGAGGGCGTCTAGGATCTCTGCATCGTTCGACATACGGGTCTCGGCGGCAGAGCAGCTTGCCCAGGAGTCATCGCTGTCCTTGTTGACGTTGGCGGAGCCAAAGCATTGCTCCATTTGTTCTTGACCACAACCACAGCCGCACTTGCAACCGTCGTTCTCGCTGATGGCCTTGTCGAGGACACCCTCGTCCCATCCGTTCATCTTGTCATCAAGTTAGCATAGTGGCATTGGAATGGAAGCAGGTAATCTTACGAAGTCAGCATGGAAGCCGTATCCAGTGGCATCGCCGTTGGAGAGGACCCAAGGAGCCTCATCAGGACCGAATTTGAAAGACGAAATGTCCCACCAGTACTCGATGAAAAGAGTGGGGAAGCGTGCGGCTCTGTGGGTGACGGGGCAGTTCTCAATACCAACACCGCTGTTGCCATTGGGGTAGGCCATGTGCGCATAGCCATCTTTGGGATCCATGGGCTCTCCGTTCCAGCAAGAAGGATAGGTCACTTCAGAGGCAAAACCGAACTTGCAAGAGGTGAAGCCCTTGGGGAAACCGTTGTCGAAGATAGCCGTCTCGCCGCCGTCGGGCTGGTGGCAGCCCCAGCGGACACCGGCTGCGTTGTCGTCACTGTTGCTGCGCCTGTTGGGCCTTCCAGCAACCATGTTGAAACCCTTAGGGTACGCAGTGACGTTTGCCCAGTTGTTTCCATCACCGTACTTGTAGTAGATCTTGGTTGCCTTCTCGGGAACACGCTGGAAGCCGGCGTTGCTCTTGAAGAACAAGGTAGGGCGCCAGTACAAAGACTTGTCACTCTTGACACGAGCAGTGGAGCAGGACGAGTCCTGGAGGCCGGCGTAGTCGACCGTCTGCTTCAGTCCGTTTCCTCCGTCAAAGGAGTGAAGATGGGGGCTCTCAGCTCCAGGGAACAGACCAGGGTCGAGACGCTGGTAGCTCATAGCCGGACCGTTGCGGTTGTAGAAGCTGAAGTAGTTGCCATAGCACTGAGCTGAGGCAGTGGCGGCAAAGCCAGCCGTGAGAGATACAATGTCGAAACGCATGATGGCTCAGTGACAATGTTCAGGAGTCTTGTACAGTGAGTCTGTGTCGTAAAACAGCAAAAAAAGGAGTGGGCTGTGTGTGAATGAAGGTATCGAGTCACGGACTCTAGATGCTCTGGGATATCAGAAAAAAGAGTGTGTATGGACAAGTCCACAAAGAAGGAAGGGATGGTATTCCTGTACCGGAAGCCAAAAAGAGAGAGAGAAAGAGGGACAGTGATGCAGATGCAAAGGTAAGACAAAGTGTGAAGAGGGGGAGATGGCCTTGGATAAATATACGCCAAAAAGGCCTCCTGCATGTGGAATTGCATGCAGCCACAGTGGGCAGCCCCCATGCCACGGACTCTATCAAGATAAGCCTAGGCGTCTAGAAGTGACACCAAAAAGACTAGATCCACACCCGTTTCCGGGTGGTGGCGATCTGAGCCAGGGGAGCCGCGCGCAGTTCACAAGCGGCACGGGTGTCAGGGGGTATGATAAAGCGAATCCTTCGGGCGAAGCGGGACAAACGAATACCAAGAAACAAGTTTCGGTACTCCAAGGTCACGACAAGGCCCGCTAAAAGTTGAGAGAAAGCGTCAGGCAGCATTGTGTATTAGCGAGAAGCGTCTAGCTTTCTCTGCCATCGGTACTTGAAACAAACCGACAAGGCGTTCGCGCGACGCCCAGCAGCGGGAGTGTTTTCTTTCTTCGACAGTTCCGATAGCGGGTTGACATAATCCATAGGATGGGAACAAACCAGGCCTGTTCCTGAGGAGCCACGCGAGCGCTAAGTGGCACGATCGTCCCAAAAGTGGCTGATCTTCAAACGGTGATGTCTGCCCCTGCCTTAGATTAACGTCAGCCCTCGCATTCGATTAGCTGCTACAGTTTCCTCTTCGGCTTTTCCATAGAACAAGCGCCTTGGGCTTTTGTGTCGAAACGAAAATCTGCCGACATTGTAGGAAACAACACGGCTTATTTTTTTCTTTCTCTTCTCTCTTGGTATTCAAGTCCGAATGTGGAGCTGAACACCCTGTAGCCGCTGCGCCGCCGCCACGAAAGTCAATTCAGTGATTGTACCTCCCAGGTGACTGGAAGCGACATGTCCCCTGTGATAGTGTACTTCGCCCTGCACATAGGAACCTGTCAGTCAAGTTTCGAATCCCGAATGTGCGTCTTTCGCGTACGCGCATACAGTATACGAGGCGAGAGGGGGACAGCGACTCGCTTTCGTCTAGTGACCTTCACGCCGACATGCATGGTCCGACCGTGGTGCAGGCACTAGCCTGTATTTCGCTCCAGCGTCTAGTTCGAGAAGTCCCGCGTTCCCGCAGTTATACTCCGGTTGGTAGAGAGCGGCCGCCAACATGCCGTTCTGCAGTAGTCGGACTTGTTTTTTTCTTTCTGCTGACGAATTTTGCTGACTAGTACTACCTGAGCGCCCCATCGCCTGGCAGTTCAACAACAGCCCACAAGCCCAAACAGTATCGATAAGGCATGTCCGTCTCCACTTTTCATCAAACACCTGTTACCCGCAAGCGAGCCACGTGGATTACATTGATCGACGTACTCTATTACACGTTTCCCCTGGCGGATTCGGCTCCAGTGTCGCGCTGTAATGTACGCTTCATCGTGGGGAGCGTGGTGCGCCAGTGTAGCGGCACGAATGGCGTTCCACTACGGTAAGCAGGTAGGTTTGACGGACTGATGACAGAAATGCATGTGTAAAATAGGAGATGGATGAAGCAATCTTGTGATATTGTTTTCCTGACATAATATGCGCTACTTAAATTCATCTATATGTACGTAGCCTCTACCGTGCCGCTTCGTGCTCCGCTTCACAGTACGTACATGTGCACTCCCTGTGGTACTATCATTTGTACGTACATATGTATACGCACACACAGCCCCGTCTTGCCATGATATCTCTCCCAATACCCAGCGTACCAAGACCATATTCGAACAGGTTGAGTCTGCCGTTAAGCGGGCTTTCGATGTCGCTTTACCTACCGCAGTATTGTGCGACTCTACGCTTGGAGCTAGGAGCCTGTACTCTGCTACCTTACTCACACCCATGATCTGTGCACAAAGACAATCAAAGCTTCGGATGCATATTCCATGCTGTCCAATGGCGGGTGCAATCTCGCTCAAGCTTTACCGCCCAACACAGCCTCGACAGCACTCCAGCGATCAATGCTCCTTTTAATCAAACCACCCATTAGCTCCCTTCCAACGACACCCCCACCACTCTTCTCTACCCTTCGAATCACCAGATCTTTCGTGCCCTTCTTCCCACCCTGGCAGTCTACAACGACACTGACAGTCTCTCTGCATACTCCTTCCTCAAAAGCATCGGGATCGCTGAGTACCCAGTCTACGTCTTCATCTTCTTCCTTCCTGCCCTCGAACACCGCATATGTGCTGGGTATCGGTAGACCTTGTAATCGCAATCGGCGTGCTTCTTGCGGATTGTCGGAACATAGTATCCCCTCAAACTCCTCGTCATAGTATGCGTGTGGTATAAGAGTGTCGCGCAGAGCAGCGAGCATTGATATCCATGCTGCATCAAACGCGTTTCCATCGATGCTTATGAAGAAGATATCGAGATACAGAACCCAGTACCCCTTCAACTGTGTTTCTGCTTCCACATCAGGGTCCTCGGGATTCGTAGAGGGTTTGTATAGAATGCGGAGATCTGAAGCGCGGAGTAGTCGTGTTGAGTGGATAAGCGATCGTATCCGCGTGATGAGTGTTTGTGCGTATGTCGAGGGAGCGTTGCCCGGAATGTGTGACGGTGTGCTTCCAGTAGAAAGCTCGACGTTTGGAACCACCAGCCTCAGTCCTTTAACTTCCTCACTATCCTCTTCTTGTGCTGCATCATCCTGACCCGTCAAGTCTTTGGGGTATTCAAAGGCGCCTGATATGTCTTCCTCTTTCAAGATTTCTGCACGTACGCCGCAAACCACGCTCGTGTTGCCCAGGCGCACGACTGCGCTGCCATTGCAATGTGTCAAGCTACCGGTGTTTACTCCTGGTGTTCGAAACTCATTGGCGGTTCGGCCGTTGGCGCGTACGGGCTTCTTCTTCTCAGCAGAGAGGTGCGCTTGGAGGAACGGGTGTGGAGAGACGGCGGCGAAGATGGGGCGGGGAAAGGTGAGAGCTGGAGGTGGACGGGTCTCAGTCGCCATTGAGAAGGTTTCGGTTGTGAAGGCTCAGAAAAGGACAAGTAATGTATTGCGCGGCGTGTTGTACAAGTCGAACGTCGACGTTGGGAAATTTTGGAGCTCTGGTCATGACGCGCTAAGTTTAAGCTTATTCGTGTGGGGCGGCCGCGATCATCTCACGCATAAATGGATCGGCAATCTCGTAACATGGTTCAATGAAACTGAAAGACTGGGGAATCGAGCACGGCTTTGGCTTACATGTAATACAGGATTGGAATAGAAATAGTATTATAATCATGTGTATGCTCAATGCGCGCTATGCAGCAGGGGTATTCCATCGAAGACAAATGCAATGCGACGCTCCTCTGCCATGCCCACGCATCCAAATAGATCCAAGACGCCGTATACTGTACCGGCCGCCTTTCTTAAACTCGAACAACAATTCTGCATTAAGCAGCGCTTAGTCCAGCTTTGCCTGTCTCCTGAACAGGTGTCCACTTGCCCTCCTTCTTGAACTGATCGCCCCTCAAGGTAGCCTGCGCAAGTTGCGAAATCATATAGTCCCGGCCCTTGATGAACCACACCATCTGGCTAGGCAATCGGAACCCATTGAACGCGCCAACACCTTTCTGCGTACCAATGGGGACAACTTGCTGTTCCTTCATGTTCGCAGCGTAGTGGCGGTCGCCCTTGTGTGGCTCGCCGGTTAAGTGGGCCAGCAGATCGTTTTTGAGGTTCGTCATGGCTACAGGTATCGCGTCGTACATGTCCATGACACCTCCTCGGGTATACGAGCCTACGTCGCCGACCACGTAGACGCGGGCAGATTCATGTTCGAGGCGGAGAGTCTTCGTATTGCAGGCCACACGATTGCGGCTGTCGAGCCATTCTTTGGGGAGAAAGCCAGTGTTGGGTCGGGTACCGGTCGCGTCAATGTATATGTCGGTCTCGAGTATCTCTCCGTTGGAGAGATCCACCCTGGTCTTTCCGCCTTCCTCTTCACTCATCTTAGACGATCCAATGACCCTTACGTCATATGTGACGTTACACCCAAGTCGCTTCAGGAATTGCTCGGCCGTCTGTCCGATGGCAGGTCGGAGAAGAGGCAAGAGCTGCCTGTCGGCGACAAAGACTCTGATTTGTGCTTTGGGGTTCTTGGGCGCAGACGCCATGAAGCCTGGCTTGCCATTGAGCATCTCTGCAATCTCTCCTGCTGTCTCGACACCGACTGGTCCGCCTCCGCCAATGATTACATCCTTAGCCGTCTTGAGACCCTCCTGAAAAGCGGCATGTACCTTCTCAAGGGCTTCGCGATCAGTAGCCTGTGTGAATAGCGGACTCGGTGTTGTGAATCCGGTTGCAATTACGAGAGCTGCATAGGGAATCGATTGCTGCTCGCCGGATGCAGTCTCAACAGACACAATCTGCCCAGCAGCATCCACATGTGTCGCCATGCCTTGAATGAACTTGAACTTGGAAGAGGCATACGCGAATGCAGGCTCGATTGGGTAGAAAGTCTTATCCGAAGGCATCATCTGCTTCGAGACAGCTTCGCGGGGTGAAGCAAAGCGCCACCAAAGATCCTTCGACGGATTGACCATGGTAACATTGTAAGTGACACCATCATTCTTAGGCAGCTGAGGTACGACGTGCCTGAGCAAGAAGTGGGCGGCGCTGATGCCTGCGAATGATCCGCCGAGTATGAGGATGGTTTCGGTACTCATCCTGGGTGTTGTTGTTTGTTGTTGCACTCAGGACGGGTATCTGGAGAAGACGACAGGAAAATAAACAAAGGGGTCGCAAAAGAAATTATTTCCAAGACGCATAGCATTAAGGTTTGGGGCGCGGTTCAAGACTCAGGGTCATACCAAGTGGGGAGCCGTCATAATCGCGAGTCGTGACCCACAAGAGCGTCTGGACCGTTTTATCGCGGAGAGCGCACCTATTGTAGCTTTCGTGGATAGTTGTCGCAAACCTCTCAACACCGATCATTTGAAGTATGCATATGCTCGTGCTTATCAATCGTATTGGATCTCCTAGTCAAGCTTTCCAGGCAGGTGATGGCATGTTGGAGGCTTGCACTTGTGAAGATAGCGCCAAGTCTAACCATGTCGCTACTAGCCCTTTCATGCTTAGTCCCGATAACTGATCTGCCGCTGACTTGGTGTCAAGTCAGATACGAGGAATTGCGATCAACACAGACCTGTTCCATACATCTAGATCAAATACCTTATTGACGGCCATCTTAGGTTAGCCATAGTGATGCAGGGTCAATGCCTTTGCGTATTTTCAAAGCGCGTGTAACTCTTCGAGCAAGGATATATGGAGTCGAGCTGGTTACGCGTCCAAGATGCAAAGCTTCACGTCAGCATGCATGCACGTACCTTCAGAACTTGCAATTGGTGCATGGTGATGACATGGGGAGCGTGCTAGAAGACTTTCATTCATATCTTTTTTTCCGAGGTATAACACCAGCCCGGTATGTGCATGCAAAACTCGCCGCGGCTGCTGACCGTAATGATCATTGCATTCATGAAGTCCTCAAAACCAATGTACATGCGGCAGGCCATCATTGCACGTAGCCTCCTCCTCAACACTGCCTAGTCTTTGTTTGGCTAAGACTGGAGTAGCTTCTTACTCGACCTCAGCCTTCGACTCGAAGTTCTCGCCAGCGACGAGGTCGGGGATGTCATCGTCATCCTCCTCGTCGTCGTCCTTCTTCTCGCCGTCCTCGCCCTTCTCCTTCTGCATGCTCTGGTAAGACTCGGCGAGTTTGCGTAGCGATGCGAGCGAGTCGGGGCCGAGCTGATTGAGGATGCCGGGGACGAGCTCTGTCAGCTCCTTGTCCTCACCGTGTCCGTAGATGGCGAAGGTGTTGGCGGGTACTGAGGCGTGGACTACAATAGCGAAAATGTCAGTCGCTGCAGGTACGGAAGCACGGGGGATCCGGCAACACAAAATGCAGATGTATCTCCAGCGAGGCAATGCTTCCTCCACCTCAAATATCCCCCCGGCATTGCAATGAGTGGAGAGATGGTGACGTACCCTTGGGTGCCGAGAAGTGGATGACGTTGCCGTCGCTCTTGAACATGTTGACCTCCTCAATGGCCTGGATAGGCTGGACATTGAGCTTCTTCAGCGCGGTCTGGAGCTTCTTGTCGTCGGTACCAGCGCCCCTGTGGACCTTCTTGACCTTCCTGCGGGGAGTGCCCTTGCCGCTATTGATCCAATTAGCCTCGTGTACCTCATAACCGCCATTTCCATCCGTGAGTCCTTGTTCGGCTGTCGCGGGTTGCGGTGGTGTTTCGCAAATTCGGGACCGTTGTTTGGTGCGGGGCTATCAAAATAGATTGCGAAGAGTGTTGCTTACCCTATGCACACATGTTAGCGAACAAGTATCCAGAGAAGATGAGCTGCTTCCTCCTGAGGGAGATTTTGGGCCAAATTTCTTCTACGTACCAATGCGCACTGACGCCTGCATACGCGCCAACTTTGCGTGATCCATATTTGCGGTGTTGAGAAAGAAGGTGACTTGGTGAGGAGATCTGTGGCAGCCAAACGTCAGCGGTCGGGCTACAATCTCACGGGAGGTCGAGCGGGTGAGGCTGCAGCGGATATGGGACCGGTACGCACCTGAATTCGGGATCGTGGCCGAGACTTGGAGTGTGGTGTAGCTGGTGAAGTTGTTGCGGGCATCGGCGAAACTCTACGGAAGCGCCGATTGTGTGCTTGCCTCGCTTGTTGGAAGCTCCTTCCCCGCAACGTCAGAGGAGAGGGGCGCGCGATCAACACTCGACAAGAGCCATTTCGAACACAAGACACGCACGCCTCCACCACGCACCGCCGCTATTCGAGCAACCAATGAACTGATTCTGATTCGAAGCTAATCGCGTTTGTTTCTCTGTTCGTTTCTATCAGAAACTCTCCCCCAACACCGTCTATTCCTCGCAGCCAGCTTTGACCTAGTTGATGCTTCATCATATCGGGCTGATAGCCATGCTCAGACTCGCCCAGGCAGCTCTTTTTTTCTGGCAAAGAAGCAGCCGATTTATTCACGTTGGTAAACAGAAATGCTGGAAAGAAAGCGCAGTGCTAGACTGCATGCACATTGACGCACTATGCAAACAACCTTTTCAATTTGGTATCAACGCCATCAACCCGAAAATATTACTCAAAGCATAGCAATTCCAGCAAGACCGACAGCACCCAACACCCATGAAATGGCTTGGGCATGTGTCGCTGCGCTAGCCGCTGTGGGCTTCGCTGCACTACTGCTACCGCTACCAGACGCTGTGGGCTTGTCATCATCGTCGTCGTCTGAGCCACCCGTACCCGTAGCTGTAGAGTTGGGGTTACCAGAGATATTCTCTTGAGCCACCTTTATTCCCGTGTTGTTCTTGCAGTTGTCTTGAAATTCTGACTGGGAGAGCTGCTTGTCGACAAGAGTAACATCGGCGCACTGTATTTTTATGAGCGACTCGACACTTCCATGTATCCTGATTCAATGACCTACCTGGAACAGACCGCCAGAGCTGTGCGCGTTGGTTACGACTTGGATAGATGCCTTTGTGCCAGCAGTCACGTTTAGGTCTTTTGGAATGCTAACCGAGCCCAGGCAAAAGTTACCCAGACCCTCGACCATAAGCTGTTGCTTCAGAACGACACTGAATCCGCTTCCAGGGTTGTCGCCAATCGCCATGTAAACGGCGACATTTGTCTGTGGGTGGCCTAGAACCAATTGGATAGGGCCACCGCTGATAGGGAAATCGGTGCGTTTATCTGAGACCTGGTCGTAACTTCCGCAGGGGAAATTACCCTCCTTGTCCTCGTCGAAGCCACGCGTTGGAGGGAAGTTGAGGTTGAAGTGAGCGAGAGTGAGGGGGAGAAGAGAGAGCGCGAGGAAAGTGTTGGAGAGCATTTTGAACGTTGACCGGTGAGTGTATGTAGAGGTGTTGATTGTTCAAGAGAGGAAGAGAGGACGAGAGAGAGAAGGAGAAAGAGCGAGAGGAATGGTATTAACTAGGAGGCGTGATTTGGGACAGTGAAGCCGCTTGCATGCGCCAGGCGGTCTAATAAGTACAGGCGCGTCGTTCCTTATTTATTAGACCCAAGGAACGGGCGTACTTGCTTCCCGTCATGCCGTGCATTCTTTCCCATTGCAGGGTGTGGCGTGCACATCGAGCCGATGCAGCCACACCTGTGCCCGGCAGCGGACTCTGACACGCGCCGGTGCCAGAAAAATACAAGTCAGTGAGCTATTTGTTTTGATACTTGATACTGGACGGGTGGCGGTATGGCCTGGTTGGTAGGAATCAGGGTGGACTATTCTGTGAATGCAGAAGCGTGAGCAAGTTTCTTACCAAAGCAGCGGTGCTATGGATGAATGGTCACTAGTGCAGGACAGGGGTCCCTTTCACATCAGCCCCACCCCTACCCGGCCTAGGCTTTGAGATTGCCATTAGCTTCGACACGAAGATCTCATGGAAATAATCTGTACATGTGTGTGTACACGGTCAGATGGGTACGTGAGACACGACAAAGGAAAAGGAGAAATAAGCTTTAGGGTCAAGATAAGCAAAGTCCGGTCATACACTGGTTGCAAATGACCGAGGTCGGACCAGGCTGAATGCGAGGTATTGTTTGTGGGAAATATCTAATTGGGTAACTAATCATCTAGTGGGCAAGTACTACAAAAGCATCTACAACATTAGACTCCGGTACAGTGCGGATATAAGGTCAAAGCAGAGTCCCGTCGGCCATTAATGCGGTGCGGCCTGATTGAATCTGCCGAAAGCAAGTTCACCGACGAACGTGCCCGCTAGAACAGACAGAAAATATCCGACATTGAAGGTCATGACTGCCAACATGCTGTTGTAATATTAGCATCGGTAGATACGAGTTGGGGGATGGTCTGCTCACAGGAGGTATCCGACACCCGCCGCAACCGTCATCAGAAAGGCCCGTGGAAGATCGACGCCAAATCTCCAAGGTTGGACGGGAGATACTGGTGCAGACACGACCCTGACATTCTCCTGAACGCCGTTGGTCGTAAGAATGCCATGTGTCGAGTTGGCATCATCGTCAAGGACTGTTTTCTCGCCAGCTACGACAACGTAGCGGCGCTGCAGAGCGTCCTTTACTGCCTTGATTTCAAGAAAGGTCTTGGCTGTGAAGATGGCGCGGAGGAGAATAGCGAGGAGGATGAGGAAGATACAGGTTCCAGCGTATTGGCCAGCTGATGATGGGGTCCATGATTTGGAGTACAGTGGAGTGTTGGTTGCTGTGAAGAAGGCCATTGCCATGCCGCCATGGCCAGACATTTCGCTCGCATGCATTCCCTCTGATGACCCCATGGCCATTTCATCGTGGCCTCCGTGTGCAACCATTATGCAAAAGTGATGGAATAGAGTGTCGAAAGGAAGGCTGGTAGTGGCGAGGCTTCACAGAAGCTCTTGATTCCGTTGCGCGGGAGAGACAGGTGTTGACAATTAGGTTCCGAGTTCCAGACTGCTACACCGATACTCGGGCAGGCGGTCGCTTAAAGGTTCCTTTGGTAAAGTGTGGGGTGACACCCTGGCTGGTTCTGATCTCGGATGATACACGGATACAAGAGTTAGCATAGACGCATAAGCCTAAGGCGACGAGGCGTTGGTCCTGTGTCGACAGCTGAGAGAAGTATAAGAGGGATCTTGCGACAGTCAAGAGGATGGCGAGCCTGGGCTGACGCGTGAAGTGTCGGGACAGGTGAGCATATTTCCCGGATGCGCCCAGCTGCCGAGGGGTCAGGATGAGGGTTCTCGGCCATGGTAAGCTAACAATAATGCCGTCAGATTTGGCCAGGCCGTAATGCAGGGTAGTTGCGAGCGAACGAACCCCCTTCGTCGTCTGGTGAGAGCCAGGGAGTCCATGGAGTCACTTTGAGCATAATTAGCCGCTTCCGGTAAGCGTCCAACGCTCAAGCAACGCCACGGCTCTGGGCTATCGAGCAAGCCCGTTACCCCAGTCCATCGGGCCCGCATCTAAGTTGATCAAAAGACGGCAGTGCAGTAAAATGATTGACTTTGCCCGGACCGTGGCTGACAGAGCCCTGGACTTTCCGCTGAACCACTGCCGCACGTTGTCTTCATCACCTACTTACACCTACTTTGGCTCCATTTCCTTCATTTATACTTTGCTCAACGTACTACTAATAGCCACCGTCTTGAGACGCGCCCTCGTTGCCTGTGGCCAAGACTGCCAGCATGTGCTGAAGACGAAACTGTTGGCATACACTTCCCCGGCTTGGTGTTTACCACAGGAGCCATTCTGAAGACGTGTAAAGAACTGGGAATACAAATCGGGCAAGACGCTGCGACAACGCGCCAACACCAGACACTATGAGCCACAGCCACATGTCCATGGGCTCACTGCCCGCCCTCAGAGACTTTCCACACTTCTACTATGCAGTAGTAGGCAGTGCCGTTGCCGTCGCTACGCTCTTCAATGTCTACAACTACCTGCTATATCGACAAAGATTATCTGCAGCAGGACGTGGTGCCCCAACACCTGCAAGGCCAAAGTCATGGTTTGCGCTTGGAAACGCGACCACATATGCTCTGACCCGAGAGGCATCTAGTTATTCGATACATATACCCATCAAAGGCCGGACCATTAGATTACCCACCGTCGGTCGAACCTCGCTGATCTTGGCAAACGTGGTTGTGCTTGTCGTGCTGTGTCTCTATGGGCTGGATCTGCACGATGTACTCAATCGGGAGAGCGTCGGCTTTCGATGTGGTGTTGTCACAATCGCACAGTTCCCAATCATTGTCCTGCTGGCAGGCAAGAACAATATCATCGGCCATCTCAGTGGGATGAGCTACGAGCGACTCAACTGGATGCATCGGTGGTGTGCTCGCTGTATGCTCTTGACAGCTACCATGCACATGGGCTGGTTCTTCAGTGCATGGGCGCCTTACGATTATATTGGCTACCAGCTCCAGAACAACAGGATTGTATGGAAGGGTCTTGCTGCCTGGTGTGCCTTGTTCTGGATTGTTTTTAGTTCCATGTCGCCAATCCGAGGGTGGAGTTACGAGATATTTGTCATCCAGCACATCATCTCCTTTGCGGTTTTCCTGGCGTTCGTCTACCTCCATAGTCCCAGCGAGATGCATGGCTACGTCTGGGCACCGGTTGCCATTTTCCTGTTTGATCGCGTCGTCCGAGCTTTGCGGCTCTTGTATCTCAACGTCTCGTTCTTTCACCCCACGCAAAGACAGCAAGAAAACATCAAGGGCTTTCTGACGTGCCAAGCCGAATTCACACCCCTATCGCATAACACAACAAAGATAGTTGTCCGAAACCCACCAATGAGCTGGAAACCTGGTCAACACGTATACTTATCCTGTCAAGCAGTTGTGCCCTTACAGAGCCACCCCTTCACTATTGCCACAATACCTGAAGATGGGCGGATGGAGTTTTATGTCAAGGCTGAAAAGGGCGGCACAAAGCGCTTCCACAGCTTTGCTGAAAAATCAAGCAGTTCATCTGAAGCATTAGCAAAGACCAGATCGGTAACGTTTGAGGGCCCTTATGGTACCCTGCGACCACTCCGACAGTTCGACAGTGTTGTTCTTGTGGCAGGCAGTACCGGAAGCAACTTTACAATGCCATTACTTCGCGACCTAATCCGGGGCTGGCAGGAAAACGCCAACCGTAGTACTCTGAAACCCAAGTCGCTCCTCCAGACACCACTTGGCGCCGTCACACGTCATATCCGTTTTGTCTGGGTTGTGAAGAGCAGTGGCCAGCTCAACTGGTTTTCCGAACAACTCACCTCCATCTATGTGGAATTCCAAACCCTACAGGAAAGACTCCGGGACATCAAGCTCGAAATGAGTGTCTACATCACCTGCGACCCATCCTTCACCGAAGGCCAAAAATCTCTCGTCTCAGACATACTCCCTCCCACAGCAACCTCATCATCACGCCAAGACGAAATCATACATGGCACCCCGCATTACAACGACCCCAAATCTTCCTCCCTCCCCTCCCAAAACAAATCCACTACCACCGAGAAACAAGAAATCCACCAGATCCGCTCAAACGAAACAACAAGTCTAGAAGTCCAAGACCCATCCAGTATCCAAAGCCCAATCGGCCCATCCACCTGCTACTGTCGCGCCATCATCTCAGAAAAAGACCCACTCACCCGCAGAACCGCATGTTGCTGCTCAGCCAACACGTCATCACCCCGCAACTCGCATTCGCGTACTACTTCTCTGACGATTACGCATCCGTCCATTGCTATTCTGGCGGGACGCCCCCAGTTACGTGATATCATTCGCAAGTCGCTCGAGCAGGCGTGGGGAGAGAGCGGCGTCGTTGTTTGTGGACCACATGGTTTGGTGAGTGATGTTCGGCGGCATGTTGTGGCGTTGAGTGATGAGAGGGCGGTGCATAAGGGAACGGGGGCGCAGGGTATTTATTTGCATACTGAGAGTTTTGGGTGGTGAGGTTTTGGAGAGAAGTTTGTTACTTGTGGTTTCAATGCGGTAATGATGTTGTCTTTTTTTTTGCGTAAAGGGAGGTGAATAGGGTAATTATGTCGTTACTCGGCAGTCCTTTGAAGACGATGCCTAGAGGGTTCTGTGCTGAAAGCGTTGATACTTTTCGTTCCTAGACTTACTTTCTCCTTTTGTATCATCAGTCAGCTCTCTAGATATTGCATATCACTTTCACAGTTACTTGATCAAAATCGATTGCAAAATCATTCATGAGTGTAACTTCGGGTATCTGTCATTGATCGAAATATAGCAATAAAATTCGTCTCAAAGGAAAAAAACACAAGGAGAAACAGGAGACTAGAGTACAAATGCAGTGCAGTTTAACAGTATTAGTGCAGCTGCAGCATCGTCCCAAGGAAAAAACGCCTCTGTCCAATCCAATCCCTCAAAACATAACACATCAAAAATAGAATGCTCGTATGCGCCCTAAAAATAGAGGAAGCCTCTCACTCCCTCGAAGGAAGAAAAAAAGTGGCAAAAGCAGACATGCAAGAAGGTGTGACAAAGGGAAGTAGTCGGGAAAGACGGGACGCAAAAGCATAACATGCTTTTGGCTTTTTCCAAGCAGCAATCCCCACCTTCTACGCCAGGCACTCCACATCCGTTAAAAAAATCCCAGTCGAGTGATCCTTTAGACCTTCTCGTGTAACGCCTTGAAATGTGTGTATGTGTGTATCTCCGGAACCTTGTGTATATATCACCCCTCTTCATCGTACTGTCGTAGTTGTCGTAATCGTTCCGGAGCTGTAACGGCTCGTCCTCCCTATAGGACCATGCGCTTGCTGCGAATAATAAAGGGAGATGGCATCTCGGGCTCTGTGTTAGGATCCCAGACAGCTGGTGGGCTAATGCCGCCGCCTCGTTGCTTAACAGGGCTTCTCCGGCCACCGTAGCCGAAGCCCTTCTTTGCGCCACCCTCGTCCTCGCTCATGGTCTGGAGGGGAATGCCGCGTGCTTGCTGGAGCTCAACAAGGGTACGACCTTGAACAGCGCCGTTGTTGCGCAGGGCTTGGGCACGGAACGCCTCGTTGCCCTTCTTTGACGGGAGACCAGCAAATGGGATTGCCTTGGTGGCGGCGCCCGCCTTTCGTGGCGACGTCGATGCGTTGTCAGTCGACTTGGCCTTTTGTCGAGAGGGAGATGCTGCAACAATGGGTACTGCAGAGACTGGTCGTGGCTTGGTAGTCCTGGGACCAAGAAGATTTGGCGCATTACCGAGGCGCGTGTTGGCCTTTAGTAGTGGCGCCTGGGCATTCGCAAGTACTTTGAATGGATCGTCATTCCGGGGGCGGCTACTAGAGGCACTGCGGGCTCGTGTTGGCGATGGTAGTACTGGAAGATCATCGTCGTCATCGAAGTCGCCATTCCACTCGGCCTCCGTTGGCGATGGAGGGACGTCTGCTTCCCACCTCTTTGCACCCTCCTTTGCGGCAGCGAAGATGTTTTGCTTGGGCTGCGCGTTACGGCGGGGAGAAAGAGAGAGTCCCTTGAGGGATGTTGGAGCGGGTGAAGGCTCGGCCATCTGGACGTCCATCGGGGAGTCGGGAACTTGTGTGGACGAAGGCTGGTTGAACATGGTACGGGCGCGCATAAGCGGACCGCGAGACGGGCGCTTCGCCTTTGGTCTTGCTGCAATAACAGCATCCTCGGCGGTGTCATCGAGGGAAAGCGATGACAAGTCTGTTCCACTCGCGAAATCAGAGTCTGTGTTCAACGTGTTTGTTGAGCTGTTGGCGGTTGGGGCCTCAACATCGGTTGGGAACAAGGCGGCTGATGGCCCTGTTGCTGAAGTTGTCGGTGTGCTGGATCGAGGAGCGAGCTTCGGCGACGTGCTGAGACGGTTTGGATACATCTTCAGAGCACGTTCTACACGTCTGTTTACCTCGCCTTCAAATGTGGCTTGAAGGTGGGCAAGTTCCTTTTGCACGCGCTGCTCGGTCTGGAGCTTCACTTGTCGCTCAATCTCTAGCTGGGCCTTGACCTCCCATTCTCGGCGTAACTGGTCGTCGAGCTCTTTGCGAATCCGAGAGATGGCCTCGCTCGCCTCTTTCTCGCGCTTTGCAGTGAGCATCCTCTGCTCGCGCAGATCCTGTCCAAGTTTAACCACCTCCTGCTCTTTGCGCATCAGCTTGACGATTGGCAAGTTCAAAAGTGCGGCAGTGTCTGGGCGGTGATCGGGTGTGGTGTTCAGGCAGCTGGCAATAACCTTTCGAAGTTCGGCCGAATAGCAGGCAGGAATGTCGGGGTAGCGTCCCAACTTGATCTTGGAAATGAGCTCGAAGTGGGTTTTGGCATTGAAAGGAGGAGACTTTGTGCACATCTCGTATATGATGCAACCGAGGGCCCAAATATCCGAGTGGGGTCCATACTGCTCGGCCTTGCAGATTTCGGGGGACATGTAGAACGGAGTACCAACGTATGTGGATGCGAAGTCGTGGGATTGGAGAATCTTGGAGAGACCAAAGTCGCCGAGCTTGACGGAGTTGTCGTCGCCAAGAAAGACTGCGTCTGTTAGCATGCACAGACGAGCGCAAGGAAAATGGGGGTACTGACTGTTTTCAGGCTTAAGATCACGATGAAGGATCATGGGCTTGCGGGGGTCGCGAACAGGCTTCGCATTGCCAACGAGACCCATGACGTTGCGGCCAGCGGCAGGCGGGTCTTCACCATAGTGGCAGCGATACAATGCGCTCACAATCTGGCTAAAGATGCTCCAGATGAACTCCTCCTCGCACATTTGGTTCTTGTTCTTCAGTTCACGGATAACGCGGCCTAGGTCGCCATTTCCGCAGTACTCCATATACAGGTGAAGGTCCTGGGATGCCTTGATGTGGTCGCGCTCAAAGTAGGCGACAATGTTTGGGTGTCGGAGTTCCTTGAGGATGGACAGCTCGGCCTGCAGCTGTTCACGCTCCTTCTGGGACATTTTGAGGTAGCTGATCTCTTTTCGGCAGAGAATCTATGTAGCGGTCAGCAGGTGTGCGGTGTGTCTTGTGCATGAATTGCATACATATCCATCCGACTTGCGCTTGACCTTGCGAATGACTCCAAAGGAGCCATGGCCTGCAGCTTGTTAGCAGGTGATAAGAGTGTGAATTGACGTCGAGGCCATGTGCGTACCAATCTTCTCGAGCACGTCGTACTTGTCTTCCTCGGGCATGGTGGCGGTAGGTCTATTGCGCAAAAGACATGCAAGTATGGGATGCAAAAACAAAAAGAAGAGCAGGCTGCTGTGTTAGTAAAGCTTCGAGGGCCGGTGGCGGAGGAGTGCAGAGGACGACGGGAAAGGCGGGATAGAAGGCCAGGTTTCTTAGGTGTTTGGTGCTGTTTACGCTAGCGGCCGTCAACCCAGCAACGCAGCGCACTAGCCTGGCTTTGTCCTGCTGGCTGGCCGGGGTCTCCCTTGCGCCCGGCCTTATCGATAGCACACCTCCGATCTGCGCCGACCCTCGTCATAGTAGCACTACATCCACATCGTACATATCCACACGTCCTCGATGCTTGTTGCCACTGCGCAAAAACAATGGATGTCAAGAAAAAGTACGAGATCGAGGCCGCCCTCGCGACCGAGGCGCAGGCCATCTCGTCGGGCCAGCTCAAGGAAGAGAACCCTCTTGACCTGAGCGACGACTTTAGACTCTTCTGCGAGGCATGCCGCCGTGGAGACCTCAAGGTCTGCCAGGAGATGATTTCCACTGGAGTCAACATCAATGCCAGAGATAAGTTTGACTACACGCCCCTGATTCTGGTATGACACCCCGCCTGGCTGCCCTGCATAACCACAAGGGCTATGCGCTGACTGCTCAAGGCCAGTCTGTGTGGCCACTACGAAGTCATACGCCTCCTGCTTGAGAACGGCGCCCTGTGCGAACGCGATACCTTCCAAGGCGAACGATGTCTCTATAACGCACTCAACGACCGGATACGAAATCTCCTCCTATCCTACGACTATGCAAAGTCGTCGAATCCCCTGCAACCGCTCGCCGCACACATCACCTCCCTCCTGACGAGGACCGAGCCCAAGACGACTGACATCACAATCACCGCCTATGGCCAAGAATTTCACCTGCACAAATTTCTCCTCGCTGCGCGATCCCCATATTTTGCAAAGAAGCTCGAGGCAGCGCCCAGCACATCCACGTGGAGACTGCCAGATACTATCCCAGCAGAGTCGCTTGGTGTGGCGCTGCAGTATCTTTACTTTCAAGAGGTCTCGATTCGGCGGGCGCTATTTGGACTCGACGACGAAAAAGAACGCGTGGTACTGAACGGTATCGATAAGATCGGCAAGCATCTAGAAATAGAACGCTTGTTTGAAGACATCACCGAAGTCTCAGATCGACGGTTGTTGCGCCAACGGCGCGCAGACGAACTAGAACGGGGTCGGGACCAATTGGAGTCTTGGTTCAAAACAAACGTTCTCCGGCACAAGAAGGTCGTGGATACCGACAAGGTGGATAGCATACGATGGGATCGCCAAAACTCAATCTTTGCCGACATTCTGCTGCGTGCCGACGAAGACGAAGAGGAGAATGAAACAGGTCAGCCATTGGGGCCGTCAGAGTCGTCGACTCCGCCTGTCCGAACCACTTCTGGACCCCTCTCAGGTATACCAGTTGGTCCAGGTCGAGCACGCTCACCATCGCGACAGCGAGCGCCGCGCAAATCGACCATCTTCCCTGCGCATCGGGCCATGTTGCTGCGCTCGGAATATTTTCTGACAATGTTCAGCTCCCAATTCAAGGAGGCGCAGGACACACCCCACTTGCAGGTTGTAACCATTGACTGCTCGCCAGCGGTTCTCGAGACCATTTTGAGGTTTTTGTACACTGAGCGTGCAGGTTTTGGCCTTGACATTGCCATTGACGTGCTATTTGCAGCAGATCAGCTCTTTATTGAGAAACTCAAGCAGCGCGCAGCCATTATTATTTCTGCTCTGGGCAACGGTGCAACCTCTGCGGTGGAGTCGGATAATCCCCGTGGTGCTACCGATGCCGATGAGGCTGTTGACATCTACGAAGTCATTCGGGCAGGTTGGGATACCCGTGTACAGCGCCTGGAGGAGTTTGCTGCAAGGTACATTGCCTATCGCCTCGAGTATTACATTGATCAGCCAGAATTTGCCGAGCTTGTTCAAGAATCTGCAAAACGCGTCAAAGCTCGACAGGAAACAGATACTGTTGAACTCGTTGACGATATACGGTACTATCTCTCTGAACGCTTCAGGCTCCGCTTCGAGGACAGTGGGTTGGACGAAATGATGGATGAGAATGCAGCAATCAAGGCAACGACTGAAAGAGATATCGTAGATGCAGTTGGCGATCTTGCTCTGGAAGACGACGTACCAGAGAAGACAAGACATGACGAGAACATTGCATCAGTAGAGCAACAGGTTGCCACTGGTGTCATCAGGAATCTAGACGGCGAGGAAGTGGGTGATGAATTTGCACAAGATGCAATGAACTACCAGATTTTGCTGGGCAAGATAGATACTCTGCTAGAAAGGCTCAACTTGGATGCTTAGACGGCGAAATAGAACAAGATGTACTATTACCAGTCTTTTACCTGATAATCCCCGTAGATTTCTGACGACAAGCAGGTGTAGTGATAGAAGGTGGCACAAGAAGCTATACCATTGTTGCTTTACACATTCAGCTCTGGTGACATCATGAGAGTGGGGTAGTCTGAACGGCAGCTTCCCCACCAAGCGGCCGATGGCAGCTTGACAAATACCGAACCAGCTCATCATGCGCGCCATTGCTCGTACAAGATCGCTTCTCCAATCTACTCCTACTCGCCTTGCTGCACACAACCTGCGTCGTGCTTCAATTGCTGTACTACGATCTGTTTCTAGCTACCAGCGCCCAAGTGCATATAAACAAGAGCTTACCACGCCAACAACACGACCCATTGCAAACATGTCGACCGAATCCACGCAGTCGAAGGCATGCTGTGACACCCCCGCTGTTGTCAGCGAGGGCTACCAGCCCAAGGGTGACTACATCGAGGTTGATGGCCTAAAGACATGTAGGTTCGATCAATTGCCCATCACAGTCTATGCTAATAGTAACCCAGATGCGACTGGCCCCAAGGACGCGAAGATCGGTATCTTGGTAGTCTACGACATCTTTGGCTTCTTCAACCAGACCCTGCAGGGAGCCGACATCCTTGCATACACAGATAGTCAAAAGTACCAGGTTTTCATGCCAGACTTTTTCGAGGGCAGCCCAGCCGACATTTCATGGATGCCACCGGACAACGATGAAAAGAAGAAGAAGATGGGAGAGTTCTTCCAGACGAAGGCTGCACCCCCAAAGACTCTGTCGCGCATCCCTAAGATTGTGGATGAGCTGAGTCAAAAGAAAGGCATCGAGAAGTGGGCCATTGTTGGCTACTGCTGGGGTGGAAAGGTATGCTTGAATGATGTCATGAACTAAACACAAGCTGACACCGCGTAGATTGTCAACCTCTCAGCAATGGAGGGCACAAAGTTCAAGGTCGCAGCGGCATGCCACCCCGCCATGGTGGCTGGCGACGATGCGCCTGGCATCACCATTCCCTACATCATGCTTCCATCTGGCGACGAGGACAAGGGTGACGTTGAAAAGTGGCAGCAAGGCATCAAAGTTCCCCATGTCGTAGAGTGGTTCCCAGATCAGATTCACGGCTGGATGGCTGCTCGCAGTGATTTAAGCAAGGAGGAAGTACGGAAGGGCTATGAGCGCGGTTACAAGCTGGTACTGGACTTTTTCCACAAGCACCTGTGAGTTGAGAAAGACTTGAGCGACTGGTGAAGAGGAAGCTGAGTGTGTTAGGATCGGAGAGGCGAAGCTCTGAAGAAGATATGTAATTTGTATAATCTGATGGAAATAGAGAGGAATTACTATTTTATGCTATAAAAGAGTAAGTGAAGTGAAACAGAACCTATGTCGAGAGGATAAAGAGATAAAATGGACTCTATAGCTTAGGGATGCTGTTCCGAGAATGTGTATTCTGCTAACATATTGCTCACTTTCTTATGTTGCAGAGTGTCTATAGCGTCCTGTCACGCAGAGTATCCCGATGCGCAGTGACGGACATCACAAATTTCTACTGCGAGATGGCCGCTTTTGTCATTTAACATTGCGCAGTAGGAGCTCTTATTGTGCGCGATTAGAACGCTTCAACACTAGTTGTGCTGCAAGCATCATGAGCAACGCGATTCTTAGTAAAAGGCACCTACCTACTAAAAAGCTTATTAGCGCAGAGCTACGACATCTCTCGCTACTACATATATCCGCGGCATCTAGGTCAGAACTACAACAAAACGCACGTATGGTATATAGTAGATCCTCAAGTATCACCAAGGAAGACTTTTTGGGAATGTATTGACAGCTGACTTTGCCTCTCTTGTATTCACATGTGACGCAGATCAAGTGCTGATTGAGGGAGCCGGACTACTACCCACCTCACTGTCGCTCTGCACACCCGAGTCAAGTTTTAAATACTGGTTTGCTAGCTTTGAGAGTTCTTTGTCGACGGGGGCGTCCGAAATATCAACGATGCGGGGATGCCACCCTGACTGTGTCTCAACCATCAGACTAGGACTCTCATCAGCTGACGTTTCCGGCGTCTCTAAACCCTGTAGAAGTCTTGCTTCTTCCGGTCGGAGCTGGGACTTCATAATGTGGTATATCGTCCTTGTCATGTAGTAATTGCGGCCTTGTTCATGCAGGCCTTCGAGAGCCAGAAGGAGACTCGATCGATCCAATTCAAGCTCTTCCGGCGTTGTCGGGTTGTTGATGTTGTGCAAAGACATGAAGCCCACTTTTGAGAGTGGGGATGTTAAGTAGACACTCGCGACTTCGAAGCCGTGTCGAATATAGTAGAGTCGTACAAGGATATTGATGTCGCGCTTTGCGTTCAGAACAATATCTTTGGGAGAATACTCGTCATTGCACTGGTCACCGATAAAAGGCTGGCAAATCGTCATGATGACCATATGATAATCGAGGCTGATAGTTCAATCAGTCGAGTTCTTTTGATCTTAGAGGAAAAAAAAGAAAAGGATGGCTTGCTGCATGAGAAAGTGAGCTGGGAGTACAATGTTCTTTGGCTTGAGGACCGTAGGGAGGTCCTTGAACCAACTCATAAACCGACGCACGAATATCATTGCTTGCTGCGCTGAGAGTGTTGAATTATTGCCGAACGACGCATGAGACAATTCGTTAAGGATTACCCTGAAGTCAGCTATAGCTTTGAAGTAATACCCACGATATGTCGGCGACAATGTTTCACTCAGCGGGTACCTGGTCCATATCTCGCCGTACCAGGCCGAGTTCGTAGAAGGATCAGTAAGTGGAACCTTGGGTGGATGATCCAAAACGGGTATGACTATCACTCTAGTATTAGTCGTCTAGAATATAATCAAGACACGAGGTACTTACCTATAAATGTTGAAGAGACACCATGCAGAAAAGTTCCTAGCGTTGCGTTTTCGCTCAGACTTAACCCGTGCATTTCCATCGAACAGCTTCAGATCTTTAGCAATAGCAAGACCTTTCAAGCCGTAGGCACTACCAAGCTTGTCTAAGCCGTAGATGTTGTAGACGCTATTGATGATCATCGCAGCCTGGACCGACGCAAGATTGCGATTTTTGCCGCTGACAGAGAGCATTTCCCAAATCCTCCTTGCTTCAGCGAAGAAACGGTATCCGAGACCATCAGGTTCCCAATGACGAAAGCGATTCGAAATGTTCTTGTAGCATCAATATTAGGGCAAAGTCAGAGCAGTGATCTCGTGTATCAAAGACGCATCGTAATATTTACGCATGCATATGCTAGCATGGCGTTCACTAGCGATGTGAAACTGCTGGATGTCTTCGAATTGAGCGATTTAACACTTGATAAATCCTCCAAGAAGTAGTCCTTGTGAAACACTGGCCAGAGGTGGTATTCACGTGTGAAATATGCATCCAGTAGCTTTCGCATAAGTCCTTCATCCCCGCAAACCGTAGTCCACTCCGAAATTCTCGTATTTTCGAGGCGGGGCTCTACAAATATTGCTGCATGGTATGCCTTCACGTACATGTCCTGATACGTCTGTGTAGATTTTGCTGGAATGATAGACTGTTGAGGCTCTGTCGTTGCAGGCTCATGCGCCTTGGGGTGTAAGGCACGCTGTGAAACCACTTCGTAGATCAATGAGTCGAGATAGGGGCTCCAAGATGTCAGTAGCAATGCCGGCATATCGCGACTGTAAGGAAGCTCATATCGGAGTCTGGTTTCTGGTACAAGCTGCATTTGCAACAACAAATCGCCGTTTCTAAAGTGATTCAAGATAGCGCCAATGTCTCCTCCGGCCCTTACTTGTTTGAAAATATCGAATGCATCCTGTTCAGGTAGTGTTTGCATGAGTCCGAGCAACTCTTCATGTGCAGACTGTTTCTTTCGCAGATCTTCGTACTTTCGCTTGGCTTGGCGTGATTCTGTTTCGACGTACTATCGGCAAACTGTCTTGCGTTCAAGGCACACCCTACATGTTGGCTTCTCACTGGTACACTGCAGGATGGTTAACACTTCGACCGATGCCTCTCGAGGTGACGTGAAACCTTTATTTTGCTTATCCGACACGGTTCGCATGCCGGCAATGGTGGGTTCTTCTTCGGTTGGTTGTCTGTCGACCCTACTGGCGGCCCTCTGTCAACTCTTCCTGCTGCAGGTAGTATTTGACGGAAACTTCTATTCATATTTCTAATAAGCACTTGCCAGATATGTTTCCGTCGTGGAGTGTAGACTTGCTGTTTAGCAAAAGGAACGTCAAGATGACAGTTGGTGGGGAAATAGCCCACCAATCATATTGTTGCAACATTTCACACCCAGTACATACACAGGTTCCTGTGACTGGTCTCGAAGACTTCACCACGATAACAGTATCCATTTTGTCACTTTGCTCAGTTCAAATATTTGAGTAGTTGCCCCACGACATATTTCACATTCGTGCAGAGAGCACAGTACAAGAGATGTTCAAGGTGGTCCGGTCATGTAGCTAAAGCGGAAGGAGGCTATGGTTGCTATGGGATTGCAAAACAAGGAGCACTCTATCCTCACCCTCGCATCAGAGCCTTTGGTGGAAAACGGGCACATGGATTTATTAATATTTGCTTCCCAACTGCGGAGGATCTTGTGAGGAATTTGTTGAACAAAATGCTATCGAAGCAACGAAGGTGTACAAAGGTATACGTGCCTTTCATGTTTTCCGAAATACTACTACGATAACGATAATGAATGCCGGTAGGTAAAGATTACTTCGAAGCTCTCGAAGAGACACTGTCTTACTCATAGGAATATGTAATCTCGCAAGACATCATCCAGATTGAGGTTGATGTACTCAGCAAGATGTGAAAGCTTCAAGAGCCTTTCTTCGCAAGTGCTCGCGTCAAAATCGAATGATTTGAGCCTAGAGAATCAAGCCTTTTGGTGTCAGATAATTCTTAATGTGCTAATCAAGTCACGAGGCAGCAAAAGGCATACTACTAGGAGTCTTCCTAGTATGTATGTTTACCTGTTAGCCTGAATTCTCCTTTTTGTGATCCACACATAGAAAAATGCCAGCAAAAGCAAAGATAATCCACCCATGATCATATTCACTATCCAATCTTCATACAATTTTCGTGATAATTCGCTTCCAAACCACTTCACTTTCAGCAAAAAAAAAGAATGGCACAAGTAACTTCGCCAGCTCAGTCATCTTCTTTGTACTGCGAGTTGGCGCATACGATGGAACATAAAGAGGTCTCAGCTAGGTGTGTTGGGTATATTTTGTAGCCAATCGAGAATACTTAAAACAGCGCAAATTTATCGGCGTTTTGTTACAAGTAAAGGAAAGCTTTCTTATCTTTTCTCCTTCATCATAGCGAAATATCTACATCGTTGTCTTTAAAGCATCTTCTACTATACATAGCCTCCTAACAGAAAACCATAAAGATTTAGTATGTAATTATGGTGGACGAGGTTTAGAGTAGCGATCCAAAAGTACTATATGAGCAAGGCGTTTTTGGTATGAAAGAATGGAAAATTCAGCCAGTTTTACTTCGACAGGGATTCTTATAGTATGTTCCTTTGTGTGCGCTAAACCGCGGTACGCGTGTGTGAATGTACACAGCTGCAGCCCCCAAACAGCCACGAAATTGGCGTAGCTAGCCGAGCTGAAGGACGACACACAGCCACCGCCCCACCCGGATTGCTGCATCAACCTCCAGCCTTTTTCTGTTCAGCTAATTGTTGCCTGGCACTTATCGTACGTATCATGCACCTCGTCTTCCAAGCCATCGACCGTCTACCACAAGTCTACCTGAGTCGATGCGTCTTCTCACATACGACGAAGCTGATAACTTCGTCATCAAGAGCTTTCACGGTGAGCCGATGCCTCCTTATGCGATACTTTCTCACACTTGGGGGGCAGAAAATGAAGAGGTGACATATGCAGACATCAACGATGGAGCCGGTCAGGACAAGGCTGGCTACGAAAAGATCCGGTTTTGCGGCGCACAAGCACGGCATGATGGCCTACAGTACTTCTGGATCGATACGTGCTGTATAGACAAAAACAACAGGGCTGAGCTTGTTTTCAGCATCCGGTCGATGTTTACGTGGTATCGGAATGCAGCACGATGTTACGTATACTTGTCAGATGTCACGAGCCCCACTTCAGCTGTTAACAGCGATCTCCCTAATCATCACGACAAACCACCTGATCGTCAAGCCCATCAATTTGAATTTTCGAAAAGCAGATGGTTCACGCGATGCTGGACATTGCAGGAACTTCTGGCCCCGTCCAAGGTGTACTTTTTCAACAAAAAGGGAAATGAGCTTGGTGATAAGCTGTCGCTGATATCAGACTTATCCCGGATCACAGACATTCCTAAACCCGCATTACAAGGTGCGCCATTGTCTCATTTCAGTACCCAGCAGCGCATATCATGGGGAGAACATCGAAAAGCGACCAAACCGGTAGACAGTGTGTACGCTCTCATGGGCATCCTTGGTGTTAGCGTGTCTCCAATTGATGGGGAGAGCCCAACAGAAGCGATGAGACGAGTCGAGCATGAAGTCGACAGGCACAACAACTGTGTTCAAGACCTTCAATCTACCAATCCTCGCGATGATAAGACACGCATTGAAGCAACAAAGGGCGGTCTGTTGGTCAACTCATACCGCTGGATTATCAATAATAGCACCTTCCAAAAGTGGCAGCAAAACCTTAGCACTCGACTACTCTGGATTAAGGGTGATCCCGGTAAAGGCAAGACGATGCTGATGTGCGGCATTATCGACGAGGTGCAGAAGACTACAAGACACAACAACACAGTTGCGTACTTCTTCTGCCAAGCTACCGACATGCGTATCAATAATGCTGTAGCGGTATTGCGGGGCTTGTTGTATATGCTTGTGATTCAGAATCCGTTACTTAGTTCGCATATTCGAAAACGTTACGACCAAGTTGGCAAGAAGCTATTCGAGGACGCGAATGCCTGGGTGGCCTTGTCACAGATTTTTGTGGACATAGTGTGCGACAAAGACTTGAACACGGTTTACTTATTTGTTGATGCTCTTGATGAGTGCGTCACAGATTTACACAAGCTTCTGGATCTAATAATTCTTACTAACGCCAAATCGCCTCGTGTGATGTGGCTGGTGACTAGCCGAAACGAGAGCCATATCGAGCAGAGATTGAAGCCAGTCAGTAACGAGGCTAGGTTAAGCCTAGAACTGAAGCAAAACGCAAGTCAAATCACGCAAGCGGTAGAAGACTATATTGACCATAAGTTATCTTCACTCGATGTTCTTGAAGGAGACAGCGTGCGCGATGAGATTCGAGATTCGATGCGGAAGAAGGCCAACGGCACTTTTCTTTGGGTCGCCTTGATGATACAAGAGCTCGAGAAGTACGACTGCTTCGATCCTTTAGCGGTAGTGAAAACAACTCCAGCAGGTTTAGACCAGTTCTACGATCGAATGTTGGCCCAGATCGAGCAGAACCCAAGGTCTGCAGATATTCTCCGGATTCTACTTTGCACGATAACAGTTGCGTTCCGTCCACTCTACCTCACTGAGGCAGGAAGTTTATGTGCACTACCAGGACCGACAGAGATGCACCGAAAAATTGTAGCCTCATGCGGCTCATTCCTCACCATTCGCAGCGAACAAATCTATCTTGTCCATCAGTCAGCAAAAGACTATCTTAGCCAGAAGATGCAGAACAATCTTCTTCCTTCTCCAACTATTATTCACTACCAGATATTCACTCAATCCATCAAGGTATTATCAAGCACGCTGGAACGTGATATATATGCTCTAGAGCAGCCAGGTATCTCAATCGACGTAGTGAAAACACCTAGCCCCGATCCGCTCACGAATGTACGTTACTCATGTGTCTACTGGTTTCACCATTTGGACTTGTCGGGACGCATTTCCTCCGAGAAATTCGATTATGAAACTGCAACAGCCATCGAGGGATTTATAAAAGAAAAGTTCCTGTATTGGGTCGAAGCTTTGAGTCTTTGTAGAAATATATACGCATTCAGACTAGCAATGCTTAGGCTACGGATAACATCATGGGTATAGTCCACATATTCCACGTTTTGCGCATGCATAATTGGACCAAACTGACACTTATAGAAACTTTTCAAGGGGAACAGCCTTTATCATCTTATTTACGACGCATGTCAATTTGAAAAACGTTTTGGAGATATCATAGAAAGATATCCTCTTCAAACATACGTATCTCCTCTACTATTCAGTCCAACAAGTAGTCTGATAAGACAGCTATTTCAGCACGAGAAGCCAAGACACATTGTTATCCAGCCAGGAGGGAGCGAAGGCTGGGGTAAGTTCCCAGGTACAGCTCCGAAGCCAAAAGGGACTGTTAATCCAGTCGTGTTCTCGCCTGACTCGACAAAGCTAGTGTCAATGTCAGAAGACAAGACAGTCACAATCTGGGACGCACAAAATGGGTTGTGCCTCCACACGCTTAGAGAGCATAACAACACTATTCATGCTGTAGCTTTCTCACCGGATATGAAAAGGCTAGTGTCAATGTCAGAAGACAAGACGGTCAAGATCTGGGACATACACAGTGGATTCTGTCTGAAGACGCTTACGGGACATACCCGCCCTGTGAACTCAGTAGCCTTCTCGTCTTTGGCAAGGTTAGCTTCAGGGTCACGGGACAAAACAATCAAGATATGGGATACACGTACAGGAGCATGCGTACGGACGCTGATAGGTCATACCTGCATCGTCAGCTCAGTGGTCTTCTCACCTGAATCGACAAAGATAGCGTCAGCTTCATGGGATAAGACAGTTAAGATCTGGGACGCACATACTGGGGCATGCCTACAGACGCTTATAGGGCACAAACATGTTGTTAGCTTGGTAGCCTTCTCGCCCAGTTCAAAGAGACTAGCTTCAGCATCCTGGGACAAGACTGTTAAGATATGGGATCCACATAGCGGGGCGTGCCTGACGACTCTTGAGGGCAATGGTCGCATCAAATCACTAGCGTTCTCGCCCGATGAGATCTCTATCCGGATCAGTGGGAGCAATCTCTGTCTCAGTAACTCCGTTGATCTCACCACTAGTAACGCCAATCCTGAACACGCCCACGATACTAGAGGATGCGTTGGTCTGAACAAGGACTGGATCACACATAACGGAGAGAATATTTTGTTGATTCCTCCAGAGTACC